GCCTTGAAAGACTAGATTTCAGACAGAAAACTTAAAAATTAACCTTAGAATTGTCATATTTCAAGAGTTTCAGATCGTCTTTACAGCTTCTTATTTTTGTGGGTAACCCTGTATCATATTCAAGCTCGTAGTTCTGTGTAAGTTATTAATTACATTCTGAAAATTTAGAATTTAGAATTAATATCTCGAAAACAAAGAAAATTTGAAAAGTTCTATTTCATCCATTGAGAATTTAGATAAACCAGAAATACCTTAACGTATCATAATTTTCTTTCGTTGAAAAATTTCCATTTTTGTTTTCCATAATTATTCTTAAACAACATAAATTTAGACAATTTTAAATTTTAAAAAATCATTAATTTTTTGCTCTTTAATGATGATAGTAGCCCGGCTTTTTAGTTCTAGGAAAAGGAGCTGTATGATATTAGGGATGGATCTTTTCCACCTTTTTGAAAAACGACGAAGAAAAAACGAAAAACAAAAAATCATTTTTTTATATAGAAACGATCGTTTTTCGTTTTAACAAAAACTATCGTTTTTTTAAAACGGTCGTTTTTAAAAACGACCTTTGCCAAACTACCGATAACGACGACCCTTCGTTAACAATCGTTAACAACTTTTCAAAGAGAAAATACATTTTTTTGGTCGTAAAATCCGAGGTCAGTAAACATCTTTCTAAAAAATGAAATTAACTGTCATAAAACTCAGATTCAGGAGCGAAATTTCATTTTAAAAACGGCCGTTTTAAACAAAGGATAGTTTTTAAAAAATGATAGTTTTTCGTTTAAAAAAAAACAATAGTTTTTTGTTTTTAAAAGCTCAAAATGATGGTTCGTTTTCAAAAACGATTTTTTTTTCCAAAAACAAAAGATAGTTTTTAGAAAAAAAAATAAAAATTTAAATGAAAAACTATCGCTTTTTAAAACGATTAACATCCCTAGAGTCTGTATGCACCATGCTGTGCAAGCTCTCGCCAAAAACTATGCCGTTTATGCCAGAACTAGAAACAGGCCTGACAAGGAATACAAAAAAGTAATATTAAAAAAAACAATGGCCAAGTGTACCAAATGTAATGCAAAATTGTGTAGCTTTCTAGATCTCTGAGAGAGTTATACTTTGGCTGAACTTTCGGTTTTCATTTATACGGTAGAACTGGGTAAACCATGAACAGTAGATTTAAAACTGGATTTTCTACATAAAGTCAAGTATTTAATTTTAGCTCTGGATAAATAAGATGAAGAGACCGCAGGATATCTTAAACCTCGGAGAATACGGGTCCAGACCCGTGTAGGGTCTTTACAGCCTCCAGAACAGTTTAGTTTATACTTAGTGGTTCAAGCAGTAGCAGTTATATACTTGATTCATGCAGTGGTTCAAGCAGTAGAAAATTCTATACTTTATTTAGGCAGTAGTTCAAGCAGTAGCAGTTATATACTTGATTCATGCAGTATTTCAAGCAGTAGAACATTCTATACTTTATTCAGGCAGTAGTTCAAGCAGAAAAAGTTATATACTTGATTCATGCAGCGGTTCGAACAGTAGAACATTCTATACTTGATTCAGGCAGTAGTTCAAGCAGTAGCATATTCTATACTTTATTCAGGCAGTAGTTCAAGCAGTAGCATATTCTATACTTGATTCATGCAGTGGTTCGAGCGGTAGCATATTCTATACTTGATTAAGGCAGTGGTTCAAGCAGAAGCATACTCTATACTTGACTCAGGCAGTAGTTCAAGCAGTAGCAGTTATATACTTGATTCATGCTGCAGTATTTCAAGCAGTAGAACATTCTATAGTTGATTAAGTCAGTTTTCAAGCAGTAGCAGTTATATACATGATTCAGGCAGAATTCAAGCAGTAGAACATTCTAAACTTTATTCAGGCATTAGTTCAAGCAGTAGCAGTTATATACTTTATTCATGCATTATTTCAAGCAGTAGAACATTCTATACTTGATTCAGGAAGTATTCAAGCAGTAGCATATTCTATACTTGGTTCTGGCAGTGGTTTAAGTAGTAGAACATTCTATACTTGATTCAGGCAGTATTCAAGCAGTAGCATATTCTATACTTGGTTCAGGCAGTGGTTCGAGCAGTAGCATATTCTATTATTGATTCAGGCAGTAGGTCAATCAGTAGCATAGTCTATACTTGATTCAAGCATTGGTTCAAGCTGTAGCATATTCTATACTTGATTAAGGCAGTGGTTCAAGCAGAAGCATATTCTATACTTGACTCAGGCAGTGGTCCATGCAGTAGCTATACTTGATTCAGGCAGTGCTCAAGCAGTAAAACATTCTATACTTGATTAAGGCAATGGTTCAAGCAGTAACAAATTATATACTTGATTCAGAGGTTCAAACAGTAGCATATTATTTACTTGATTCAGGCAGTGTTTCAAGCAGTGCCAGTATCACATTCAATACTGTATTCAGGCAGTGGTTCAAATTAAGGCAGTAGTTCAAGAAATTAAGCATTATATACTTACCTCGATCATCGTGGTATGATGATGTTAAATTTTTTAAATTTTTTTTTTTCAAAAAAGATAATTACTAATAAGTTGTTGAAAATGATGAAATTTGTTGGTGAAAATCTAAAGCTAGTTGACACATCAAGTTGTCTTCCTATTATTATCAGAAAATTTAAATGGAATATTCAGATTTAAATGATTAAATTAAGTTCTAACATTTTTTAAAAATAGAAATAGAAATAGAAAATTGAAATAGAAATAGATAAAGAAACTAGAGAAAAAGACCAACAGTTTTTGTAGTAAAGATTGACGTGAATGTAACAATATATCTTAATCATATTTGGCTCAATACTCCGGCTAGAAATAGGACCTATTTGGACCTGATCAAATTGATTTTACTTGCCCTGGTATATCCAATCCCCAGTACATATACAATAAATACCAAATTACTCCAGCTATCAAGAGACATCAAGAAAGGGTCAAATTTTGCGAAATTACGATTTTGTTTCCTTGGATCAACCTTCTCTGGTTTCGGATTTACGCCCTATAATGTTAGAAAAGATGCATGTTATGAATTCTAAACTCTCTTTCTTCTTCTTCAAAAAAAGAAGTTACGATTTAAAAATTTAAATTTATTTGAAATTTGTACCAAATCTAGTTGATTAGAGATACTTAGATCCAAATATAAGTTTAATCCTAATATATATTAAATCCCAATATACTTTAGATACCAATAAATTTTGGATCCCAAATATATGTTTAATCTTAATATATATATAAATAAAATCCCATTATATTTTAGATACCATTATATGTTTAATCCTAATATATATTAAATCCCAATATATTTTAGATTCAAATATATTTTTTTTAAAGAGATTTTTTTGTCCCCAGGACATGATCGGGTTGTTACGATCAAATCTCGGAATTTTTTCTACTGCGAAAGTTTGGTGTTGTCTGGGTTTTTATATTGACCTACCAGGGGTTGTAATCTGGCAGCACATTCATCCATCCACGCTTCATTCATCCTGAGAAGAGGGTTGACAAGATTCCAATATATTTTAGATCCCGATATATTCTAGATCCCGATGTTTATAAAAAAAATCCCAATAGACAAATCAGATCACAATATATCTTAGATTATAATATATAAAAAATCCCAATATATATTTTAGATACCAAAATAAGCATAAAAGTATATTGTCTCAGATCAAAGTGCATGATAACTTTCCGTTTTTGTATTATGCCGATGGATTAGACCTAACACAGAATGTATGTTAATCGTTTTTATATTCCTAAACACATATTTCACATATTTATTCCGCACTTAGCTCGCTTTGAACAATGATAATGCTTTAACTGCAAACTAATTTCCAGACTTTTAACCAAAATTGTATTCAAAAAAGATTGGTGAAATCTTTAGTTGACGAAATTACAGTTAAAAATAAGCGAAAACTTATTACAATAGAAAATTTCCAAATGAAAAATGTATCTCTATCAAGTTTACAATACATATTATTTGTTTCTTTTTAATTTTGATTAATCTGTTGATTTAATATTTGATTAAACCGATTCAAAATATTATTAAACTCACCAAATATTGTTCATAATTCTAGCTTTAAATGGTACTAGGTTAGGTTAGATAGATAGATAGAATATTATAATTACAAAGACTTGAACATCCTATAGAGGATAAGAGGGGGCATTGAAAATACTTATTTGGAAAACATCCTTTAAAATGAAAAAAATTGGACTTGGCATCTTGAACTGTGTATTTTGTCAAGTTAAAGGAATTGAGTCTTTGCCAAAAACTCAGGTTTTCTAATCCCTTTCAAATCATTTCAACCCAATGTCGAATACATTTGATATTTCAAACGTAGATTCTTTGATCTAACATAATTCATAGTTTAAAATATCAAAGGTTTACAACATTAGGTTGCAAAGATACAGTCAATAGCAAATTTGAGGTTGTGGCAAAGCCTCAATTCCTTTGGGTTTCTTTAGTCTTCAAGTATTCTAGACACGTATTAAGAATACTGGGGGTTGTTAGTTCAGTACAGAACACTGAGTTAGAATACTGTAATTTAAAATAACCCTTCTACTTTGAGAGGAGCACACCCGATGCACTACGGTGTTTTACTGTTTTATCCTTGTTTCCGTAGCAGAAATCTGCAAGTCACTTTTATAGAAAAACAAGGAGACCCTCCTCATTACTGAATTTTGGAAGGGGAGGGTTATCCCTGAAATGACTGATGATATAAAAAAAAGTTTGTTGAAACTCTGTTTGCAAAAATGAAAGTTTGTCAATTTAAGTGAATTTGCGAAGGTTTTTTTTAAAGAAACAATAAATAATGAAACTATGGTGGCAAGATCAAGAACAAATATCTTTTTCGTAAATTGTTTTGGTCCAACTCTCGTTTCGTTAATGTGTGTTGTCTTAACATTGTGGTTTTGGAAAAAGAGCAGAAAATGAGGTTTTGTATTATCATCATTTTCTCCTTTCCAGGGTTGCAAGTTCATACCAGGAACAAGGAATACAAGCTGACCAAATGCATAAAGGAATATCCACAAATACATAGAGGGATATCCACAAATACATACAGGTATATCCGCAAATTTATACAGGGATATCCATAAATAAATATAGGGACATCCACAAATACATTCAAGGATATCCACAAATATATACAGGGATATCCACAAATATATACAGGGATATCCACAAATGCATACACAAATATCCACAAATATATACAGGGATATCCACAAATACATACAGGGATATTCACGAATAAATACAGGGATATCCGCAAATACATACAGGATATCCACAAATACATACAAGGATATTCACAAAGAATTATACTTAAAGGGACTGTAAGTGTAAATTCAAGCGACCGTACACTCAGTATGAACATTTTTAAACATTTGCGGTTTCTCTGGGAAAGTGACGAGAGCATTGCATATATGTGAAGCCAGGGGCGTACGAGGGCTTTTGCTTAGGGGGGGGGCACAATGTGACCCAATTTTTTTGGGTCCCCCCTTGGCAACATTGTGCCCCCCCTTAAAAACACCTTCTTTGAAAAAATATTGATACCTTTTTTAAATTTTTTTTGCCCCCCCTCCCACCTGGACTTGTTCTGTTCACCATAAAAATACACCAAAAAGAATACATTTTTGGGTGGTTACTAACCATATAGAGTCTAAAAATTATTCCTTTGCTTGAAAAACTAACTTTTTAAAATTATAAATTTATCACTTAACTCCATCACAGCTAACTAAATCAATAATCACAGCATCATTAAAAATTATATTTTTACTAATTAACGAAATTTTTTTCTGAAATTTTTACATATTCCCCAACTCTTTTAAGCTACAATTTTCTGGGATTTGCTTGCACAAACATTTCAATAATTTTTTCAGTAAAGAGCTCAGACAGCCTTATAGGGTGTAAAGCTATAAGTGCAAGATCGTTAAGTCTGCTCTCCGTCTTAGTACATCTTGTGTAATGAAGAATTCTTTTTAGAAGGCTAAAACTTTTCTCTCCTTGTATTAACAGTGAATTTAGACAAATCCTTAGTCTTTGTCATTGTCAGGTGTTACTTTTTAAACGTAGTTTCCTTTTAATTTTGTATTTTTCAGGGGGGCAGTGCCCCGCCTGGAACTCCCAGGGGGGAAAGAGGACTACTGCCCCCCCTAGGTACGCCACTGTGCCTATCCTGAGGAAGGGAAATGCTAGCAGATGTAATATTAAAAGAGCCTCCCCCATGGGTGCCCCCCTTCAGCCTCTCAGGGGGGCACGCGAAGGGGGGGGGGCGGGGGGCGCGCCTCCCCCTCGTACGCCCCTGTGTGAAGCACTGGAGAAAATATCAGTATTAAACACTTTTTGAGTCAAAAACGACGGTATCTTCTACTTTTTTGTTAAGATTAGGGTTTTAAAGGTATCGTTGAAAATCAGGCAGAGCCATCTATGCATGCAGGGTCACTTGAAATTACACTTACAGTCCAGCTTTTTAAGATATTTTCCTATAGAATACACTATAGAATAAAAACCCTGTGTTTTGGTTTATAACAATTTGTATAGAATTCCTTCGAGGATTTAAACTTTCATTTGTTTCATTTGTTCCAATTTTTCTGAGAGTAAATGTCATTCCTTTTTTAAAGAACTGGTTTACCATGAATAAGTTTTTAGATTACCATGGCTTAATAAAAATGGTTTCATAATACAAAGTCAGGATTTCATAAAGTAATATTTTCTGCCATTCGCTTTTATTTGAAACTATGTCCATAGTTTCGTCTTTTTCCTCTGGACACTTTGCTTTGATCTCACTTTTCCATGTACATGTAGAGTGGTTCGTTTGCTTGAAGGGGTATGATGGTTTAATTTGCTTGAAGGGGAATGATGGTTTAATTTGCTTGAAGGGGAAGGATGCTTTAATTTGCTTAAAGGGGTAGGATGGTTTAATTTGCTTGAAGGGGAAGGATGCTTTAATTGCTTAAAGGGGTAGGATGGTTTAATTTGCTTGAAGGTGTAGGATGGTTTAATTTGCTTGAAGGGGAAGGATGGTTTAATTTGTTTGAAGGGGAAGGATGCTTTAATTTGCTTGAAGGGGAAGGATGGTTTATCCGGAGTGAATACAAAACGCCCAAATACAAAATGTTCAATAACAAAACACCCAAAACATAATACCCAAGAAAAGACACCCAAGATTTCAAAATGTCCATTGTTACAAAATGTCCAAAGCTACAAAATGTCCAAACTTACAAAATATCCAAAGTTACAAAATGTCCAAAGACGTTTTGTGATTTTGGACATTTCGTAATTTCCGACATTTGTAGCTTTAGACATTTTGTAACTTTGGACATTTTGTAAATTTGGGCTTTTTGTTATCATGGACGTTTTGTTCTTGGGTGATGCAAAATTTTGGGTGTTTTGTAATTGGACTTTTTTTATTGGACATTTGGTTTTTGGGCGTTTTATATCCACTCTGTTTATTTTGCTTGAAGGGGAAGGATTGTTTATTTTGTTGGAAGGGGAAGGATGGTTTATTTTGCTGGAAGGGAAAGGATGGTTTATTTTTCTGGAAGGAGAAGGATGGTTTATTTTGCTGGAAGGGGAAGGATTGTTTATTTTGCTGGAAGGGGATGGATGGTTTATTTTGCTTGAAGGGGAAGGATGGTTTATTTTGCTGGAAGGGGAATGATGGTTTATTTTGCTGGAAGGGGAAGGATGGTTTATTTAGCTTGAAGTGGAAGGAAAGTTTATTTTGCTGGAAGGAAAAGGTTGGGTTTTTTTACTGAAAGTAGAAGGATGGTTAATTTAGCAGGAAGGGGAATGAGGGCTTATTTTGCTGAAAGGAAAAGGATGGTTATTTTGTTGTTAGAGGAAAAGGGTTATTTAGCTGGAAGGAAAAGGATAGCTTACTTTGCTGGAAGGGAAAGGGTGGTTTATTTTGCTAGAAGGAGAAGGATAGTTTATTTTGCTGCCAGGGAAAGAATTTTTTTTAGATAGGGTGAGCTAGCTGGGGGAGAGATTTGGTTATTTACAGAACCCGTATTTTGGTTTATCATACGCTGCTGAAACTTGTATAGATTATGACACTAAGCTAAATCTACAGTCTACACAGTTATCAAAACCAGTCACAAACTTCGGAGAACTTGGCAAACTTTGACAGGTTGTCTAGACCAGGGTCAATTGGTCAAGTAAAAAGACTTTTGTTCATGCATTGTCATCAGCATTTTTTATTGTCTCCAGAATTTATAAATTAGAAATCCCCTAATCGATATAAACTCTTAGAGGGGATATTAATATTGATAATCAGCTAATTTAAGAATTACTGAGTTATCAATGGTCAAAGTTAAGGATTTTCTATCTTTCATTGGTAGAATTTTCTTTCTTTATCTCTAAAAAAAATCTGTACCCTAAAAAATCAATTTACAAAAAATCCTAAAAATTACTATTCCTTGAAAGTGTCAGAAATGCCAGGGCAAAAAAAAGTAAGGGGGGCTTATACGCCCTCCTCCCTTCCCAGCCTGTTTAGGGTAAAGAAAATCTTGTAAAAGAAAGTAAACTAAATGAACCAAAGATGTTTAAACGACAATTTTTTTATTTTAGGAGCTATAGAGGTCGAAAAGCCGTACAACGTATTCTGTATTTAAAATTGACATTTTTAATTTACTTTAAATTAATAATTATTTTTTACAATTAATTTTATCCTAAAAATAGTAGTATTCTATCGACCTAGGGCCGCTTCATAAATTATTTAAGATTCAAAATGTCAAATATCAAATTTATGTCAGAAAACCATGATGTAAAAATAATGTCATTAATAAACTAGCTTGGGAATCCAGCGCTGCCAAGGTTACTAAAAGTTACTCGTGCAGTTTAACCACACTTAACGATTTTACCGGGAAACTGAATTTTTGCAATCAAAGTCGACCAACTAGGTTATAGTATATAGAGTGAGGATGTACGCTAATCCTTTACTAATTGTACAGACCGTTTACTCAATTTTCAAGGTCAATCCGCATTTATGCATTTAAAGCAAGGGAGGAAACGGTCAGAATAAAACACCTTTTGATCTACACAAAAGACTTTATCTTCCACATTATTGATCATTACTGGTTTATAGAGTATCGTTGTTAATTCGTAAAGCACCTTTTTAAATCTGTAGGCATAGTATTGTTTTATATCTATTTCCCATGGGGATTTCTGTAGCACTTTTTTTTTCAAAATGCCGATTGTATATGAGGTTTGGAGAATTTTTTTTTCACTTCACTAGGGTTGACCACTGCTCTTTTACAAAATGCAATATAACATATTCACAAAGAAACATGCTAAAACAATCTTTAACAGAGCAATACTCAGGGGCGGAAACGTCATGGGTGTGTGTCTGTACCAAAAGAGTGTGCGTGTGTGATAAGGAACCGAATAAGTGTACTGTCGGTGTATACAGTGTATAGAACCCAAAACTTCAGACAGGGTTTCGTTATCAAAACACGTTTTAAAACCCGGGTTTTACGAATTGGGTTAGGCAGTTTTGTGGATATCATATTATTGTTATGAAATATTTTTTATTTAGTTTCTTCATATTCTCCATTTTTTGTCGAATCTCTTAAATCAAAATCTCAATTGTTAATTGTTTACTTAAAAATAAATTTTACATGTAATTTACTATTTATATATTTAAGTCAACACTATAAGCGACATTTGCATGCAAAGAATATAATTTGATTAAAGTTTTTTGTAAACTTCTCGTTATTCAAGTTTAATTATAATTGACGACATTGTTCTGCACTTTCCTTGACTGTAGTCATGTGCGTGTGTCTGTACCAAGCGTGTGTGATAAGGAACCCGTCTGCAAAGCAGAGCGACTGGCTTTCTTATGCCTGACCAGCGCCGTAAAGTCCTTGTATCCTTTATTAGTAAACCTGAAGCTAAATAGTGGCTCAGGTAATCAAATATTATCCCCCCCTGTCGACCCACTCCACTTAGAATCTTAAAACCAAGAAAGAAAATTCGGCCTCCCTAGTTCCCCAATCAAAATTTGAGGCAAATCAGTGCAGGGGTTCCTGAGTTGTGATCGGACAAACAAACAGACAG